CTATTAATAATAAAGCAGGAAGGGGCTCCTGGGTGGCTCAGTTGGTTAAGCAACTGCCTTCGGCTCAGGTCATGATCCTGGAGTCCCAGGATCGACTCCCCGCATCGGACTCCCTGCTCAGCAGGGAGTCGGCTTCTCCCTCTAACCCTCCCCCCCTCATGCTCTCTCTATCTCATTCTCTCTCTCAAATAAATAAATAAAATCTTAAAAAATAATAATAAAGCAGGCAAAGATGGTTAATCATTTGGATTTCTACAACAAATCGGTGAGATTCTCCTTACAAATAACATCACCCTCACTCATTTGTAGTCTTGGTTTTCATACACATTTCTTTGTTTTTTAAATGGGGAAGACAATGCTGGCTTCACCCTTAGGCAGAATAGGTGTGTGCTCTGGATGCCCCCCACCTCCATTTCAAATAAAAAAAGAGAAATACATTTTTTGGCATGAATTTAATATTTGATATTCAGAAGTAACAGTGAAGTCATCACTATGGAGAAAGTAAACCGTTGCAGTTATCTTGAATGACTTATGTATGATGAGAGTTCAGGGCTTAGGATCTCAAGATCGTACCCTAACCCAGGCCAGAAGAAAGTGGAGGGTTCTCACTCAAGTCTGGGCCAGAATGTGTGACACATCTGAACAACAACATCCACTCGGCCATCAGAGCTGCAGCTCTAAATAATCTGAGGGCAAAAGTGTTCCTGGAGGGTTCCTGAAGACAGTGTCTTCTTTGTCCTTCTTCCCTAGAAATATCCGATGCTAAATTTAAAAGCTGACCATCGGCCAGATGGTAAGGAACTTGGATTATGGGAACAGAAAAAGTAGGACCATCTAGTTCAGTAGCTCCCCAATCTGCCCTTCCTCCCCCAAAAGAATCACGGAGTTCATGGTGATCTTTGTGGACACCCATTAAGTACTGGCCCCTTAAACTTACATCAACCTGGGGGAAATTTTGCCCTCCCCCACATCTCTAGGGACATTTGGCAATGTCTGGAGACATTATTTTGTTGTCACAAGTGGCGTGGGGGTTGCTACTGACAGCTAGTGGATGGAGGCCAGGGATGCTGTTAAAAATCCTACAAAGTGCAGGATACCCCCGCCCCCTCAATACAGAATGATCTGGCCCAAAATATCAGTTACTACGGAGGCTGAGAAATCTTAACTAAGATTCTTTTCTTATCCATGATTCCAGCCTGAACAAATGTTAATAGCAACCAAAGACTTTGAATTTTTCTCCAATAGATAGGAGGAAAAGTCCATTCACTAGCTCAGTTGAGCTTGTCTTACGTCTTCTACAGACCAAAAAAGGCTACAGACTAGCTGTAAGCCAAAGATCAAGCTACATTTCCATCCTTCCACTTCCTCCTTGGGCCTTTCTTCTTCGCTGCAAGCAGAAACCCAAGCACCCGATACAAAACCCCTCCCAGGAAGTGGGCTCAGCCGCCCCAGGAATAATGGACTGCTTATTCTGGGAGAGTCTCCAACTCCATGAAGTCTCCCTTCTCCCACCCAAATTTAGTCAGGTAAGGTGGGCATGTCACAGCGAGAATAATTTGGTCCAACACCCTAGGTTTATAAAAGAAAACTGAACCAGGACATTCTCTCACTTCCCTATGTAATATCCTCCATCCACCACTCTCAAAATGAAAGCCAATGTCTTTAGCTTTGTCTAGAGGCGTCTGGCTGGCTCAGTCAGAAAAGCACGAGACTTCTAATCTCAAGGTTGAGAGTTCAAGCCCCACATTGGGTGCAGCGGTTACTTAAGTAAATAAACTTAAAGAAAAAAATCCTTAGCCTCATCTACAAGATTTGTCAACCTCAGCACCATTTGGGGCTAGATCATTCTACGTTGTGGGTACGATCCTGGGCACTGTAGGATGTTTAATGGCATCCATGGTCTCTACCCACTCGATGCCAAGAGCATACCACCCCCAACTGTGACCACCCAAAATGTCTCTATACATTGCCAAATATCCTCTGAGGGCAAAATCCCCCAGTTGAGAACCACTGATCTACCAGGACCTAAATAATTTGACCCCAGCCTCCATCTCAGACCTCATCCACCAGCCCCAACTGCCTCCTTTCTACTCCTTGAAAACACAAGACCATTCCTGCTGCGGGGGCTTGCACCTGCTACTCTCTCAGCCTGGGAATGTCCACTCAAACGTCATCTCCTCATCTATGCTTTCCCAGACTCCCCCACTGAAAATAGTCCCCTGCCTCCCTCACTTTCAAATGCTTGTTTTCATCACCCATTTTATTTCTTTCAAGGCACGTTGTCCTTATGTGATGCTTTCTGGCCCTCCACGGAGGCAAGGACAGTATCCAACTTTCCACCACCACGTTCACAGCACGTGGAGCAAATTCCATCCAGGTGACCATGAGAACAGGCTACGCGGCCCCTACATGGAGGCTCGCCACCACCATGTCACGGTCGGGAGAGGGGTCCCCCCTGTGTTTTGTTGCTTGCCCTATCCAACCTCAAGAGAACTGAAGCTGTGTTGGGAGAAGAAAACTGCGTGACAGGTGCCATTTCCGCCTTTTCCCACTTTAACGCAATGTCACAAATAAACAGGCCTGGTTTCCTTTTTGAAGAGCCTGATGCACTTAATTTGGCTGAACCACGTGGGGTGGGCTTGGGAGAACCGAAACAGACCATCTGCAAATTACTCAAACGCACCCAGAAGCCAGCCTACAAGCCCCCAGCAGCCGCTTGTACAAATGCTGTTCTGCTCTCTACCCAGACAAAAATCCTCTCTCTCCCCGCAGCCTTTGAAAACCGCTAAGTTCTCATCGATAAAAAGGAAATCAAAGAAAACCATTTGGGACAAAAGACACTTTCTGGGGAAAACAACAGCCTGGCTCTGCTCCTGATACACATCCTTTGAAGCGCTTCGAAATGGGGCTCTGGTTCTCACAGGCCCAGCAGAGGGTTCGAGATGTGTGCATACAACTTTTCACGAGGCCCAAACAAGGCTGCTCTGTGCTTCCCCATCTTTGTTCTCACAGGTTTCGAGAAACCTTTTGTCTCTTAATTTACTGCATGAACAACATTAAAATAGGAATGAATTTTTTTTTTTAAGATTTTATTTATTTATTTGACAGAGAGAGAGACAGCGAGAGAGGGAACACAAGCAGGGGGAGTGGGAGAGGGAGAAGCAGGCTTCCCGTGGAGCAGGGAGCCCGATGCGGGGCTCGATCCCAGGACCCTGGGATCATGACCTGAGCCGAAGGCAGACGCTTAACGACTGAGCCACCCAGGCGCCACAGGAATGGATTTTTTAAAAAGCAAAACTCCAACGATCACCCCAGCCACACTGCATCATGCTTTTTAGGCTCCGTTGCCCCCACCTTGCCACCTCTGGGATTCTTTTCTAGTCCTGGTCAATACACAAAAGTATTATTTGCATAACCGCATTGACAACACAGGCAAATTCTGAACCACCCCCCAAACTTAAATAAATAGACACACTCATTTCTCCTACCACCACCTAGACATCACAAGTGTCTTACTCATTTATTCATCCATCCATCCATTCATTCTTAAGTTCTATGCCCAAAATGGGGCTTGAACTCATGACCCCGAGATCAAGAGTCACATGCTCTCTACCCACTCAGCCAGCCAGGCACCCCATAAGTTTCATTTTTAATGTCTACACAGAATATTCCATTAGGCCGAAATACTGTAATTTATTTTAACCATTTTCCTATTGCAAGGTACTTAGGTTATTTTTAATGACCTAAAATTGGGCACTTTGGCATTTTTCTTCTTTTAGATTACATCTCTCTTTTTTTTTTAAGATTTTTATTTATTTATTTGAGAGACAGCATGAGAGAGAACACAAGCAGGGGGAGGGGCAGAGGCAGGGGGAGTAGCAGGTTCCCCGCTGAGCAAGGAGCCCGATGCGGGACTCAATCCCAGGACCCTGGGATCATGACCCGAGCTGAAGGCAGACGCTTAACGACTGAGCCACCCAGGTGCCCCAGATTACATCCTTCTAATAAAACCCATTGGTGGTATTATTGGGTCAAAGAATAGATCAAGATATATCAAAAAATATCCAGATATTTTTCTGCTGCTCAAGATGACCATGGCAACCAGCAGAAGGATAGGACAGAAGTCTCCCCATAAAGTCACCAGGACTGAATATTAACATTTTGACACATGGGCATGGGATCAGTGGGGCTGCTAACATATTTTTTTGTTTGTATTTCTTTGAGTGAATATACCGATTTAACTGCATTTCCTTTTTTTTTTTTTTTTAAAGATTTTATTTATTTATTTGAGACAGAGAATGAGAGAGAGAGAGCATATGAAAGGGGGGAGGGTCAGAGGGAGAAGCAGGCTCCCTGCCGAGCAGGGAGCCCGACGCGGGACTCGATCCAGGGACTCCAGGATCATGACCTGAGCCGAAGGCAGTCGCTTAACCAACTGAGCCACCCAGGCGCCCTGCATTTCCTCTTTTGCACAGAAATGTTGACGTTCTTTCTGGGTGAGTCCAATGCCCCCTATACACCCACAGCATGCCTGACAATATACATTTCAAACTGGACTCTATCTGTCTGTTACTGTCAGGCTTTCTAATTATTCCTGTCCCCTGGATATCTTCTTCTGGATTTAGTTTGTATTTCCCTGGCTGCTTTCATGTTCATCAGCTCTTTATACTTTCTCTTTTATGAAAACCCTGTTCATTTCTTTGTGCCCATTTTTCTATTGGGTATTTGTCTTTCTCTTATTAATTTACAAAAAGGCCTTTAAATATTATGGATACTAAATTACCCATCTGTTATGTGTTGTTATGGGTTGAGTTGTGCCCCCCCAAATATTCACGTTCAAGTCCCAACCCCGAGGATCTCAGAACATGACTTTATTTGGAAATAGCATCCTTACAGATGTAATTACTTAAGATGAAGTCATATGGGAGTAGGATGGGCCTCTAATCCAATATGACCAGTGTCTTTATAAAAGAAATTTGGACACAGACATGCATATTAGAGAGAGAGCTATGTGAAGAATGAAGTTATGTTTCTGTAAGCATAGTTCCGTGGAACTATCAGAAACCAGGAGAGAGGACTGCAATAGATCCTTCCTAGAACCTTCAGAGGGAGCATGGCCCTGCTGACATCTGGATCTTGAACCGCCAGCCTCCGAAACTGTGAGACAGTAAATTAATTTCTGTTGTTTAAGCCACTCAACTCAGTTTTTAGTACTTTGTTACAACAGCCCTAGCAAACTAATACATGTGTATAGCAAACATATTTTCCCAGTTTGTGGCTTGACTTTTAATTTTTTTTTTTTTTTAAAGATTTTATTTGAGAGAGAGAGACAGTGGGAGAGGAAACACAAGCAGGGGGAGTGGGAGAGGGAGAAGCAGGCTTCCCGCAGAGCAGGGAGCCTGATGCGGGGCTCGATCCCAGGACCCCGGGATCATGACCTGAGCCAAAGGCAGACGCCTAACGACTGAGCCACCCAGGCGCCCCCGACTTCTAATTTTTTTAAACCATATTTTCTGATGAGCAGAGTACAGAATTTTAACGTGGTAGAATGCACCCATCTTCTTCCACGGTTTGCACTTTATGACTTTTTTAGAAACGCTTTGCTACACTCAAGTTGTAAAGACAGTCTCCTTTTTTTCCTTCTAAAGGTCTGGCCTTTCAAGTCTAAATCCTTGGACCATCTGGACTTGGTTTCGGTGTATGGTGTGAGGTAAGGCTCCGTTTTCACTTTTGAGGTGGTAACCATCTTCCCTCCTGTCTTTCTGCCCCATAAGACAATGGCCTCATTGAGGGTAGTGATTCTACATTACTCTGTAATGAACAGACTCTTGATGCATGCTGACACAGAGAAACGAAGCTAAACCTTCCAGAGAAGATAGGAGAGAAGCTCAATCTTTTGAATATGGACAGTTTCTGTCTAGCGCTCAATGGCCATCTAAACTCAGTCAACATACTTCAGATCCACTTAAGCATCTCTAGAGTGAGATACTGACTCTGTTGTAAATTGAGCTCCCAGAGAACATCTTATAGCAAAGATGTTTGTTAGAACATGCAACACTATCAACCCAAACCTGAAATGACAGCATGAAGCCTTGTCTCCAGCTACCCAGGGTCTGTAACAAAGGACTAACAGCGGACCCAAATGATGTTAGGGAGAGTCCCCCTCAAGCAGAAGGAGCAGTGGCCAGGATGGGCCAGGGTACTTATTGAGAAGGGCTGGGAGAAGTTCTGCCAGCTAAGGGAGGGCTTTTGAGCCAGGAGGGTCCAGCCCCCAGACCCTTCTTCCATTTCTGGAAGCATGTCCCCCTCTATTTCTCTGGGTCTCACCACCACCTACCCAACCTCAGATCCACCAGCCCAAGTGTCCCATCAGTAGTTATTTACAGAGTATCTACCACATGTAGGGCACAGGGCTGGTATACAGTAGGCGCTCAATAATTTTCCTAAGTGTGCTAGACACAAAGGACACAGCAGTGAGCAAGACAGTTAAGGTCCGTGTAATGTAGTTCCTGATAGTAAGCATCATTTAATTAATTACTATGCATGACTAATTAACATGAGATGATTTCATTAGCACTGTGGGTGTGTGCTCTAAAGACAAATGGAGTGCTATGGGAACTGACCTTCCTAAGACCCCCCCTGCAGAAGTAAGAACATGGGTCAGAGGGCCAAGGAATAGGCACACGCAATAACCAAAACGGCCAATATGGACAAGTGACGGGAGTAAGGGGGTCCGGGGGGGTGGGGTGGGTGCAGACCCAAGACTGGGGCAGAAGACAGATTAGCTCAGGTAAGAAGTATGGACTTACCTGAGAAACAGGGAGCCACAGAAGGCTTTAGGCAGGGAGTCACCTAATTAGACTTAATGTTTTAAAAGGATCTCTCTGGCTGCACCTCGTTGCTCCTGTCGGTTCAAGCCATCTCTCATTCTGACCCCCTCTTCCACTCACGTTGTACACACCCGTTTCTCTGCTACCTCTCGTAACAAACTCTTTTATGAGGCTACTGGACTTTCCATGTACTATGATTTCTGTGGGGAGGGACTGCATGTTCTAGGTTTTCACGCACCCCTCTTCTCTGCCTAGCGTTGGGAGGTAGGGTAGTTGTTATGCATTGGATTATTTCCATCAAAAGAGAGGGTGAAACCCTAACCCCTGACACCTGTGAATTTGACCTTATTGGGGACAAGGGGATCTGGTCATCTGTAATCAAATTAAGGTGAGACCGTACTGGCATCAGGCGGGCCCTGGTGTCCTTACAAGATGACAGACACAGAGAAGAACACGGCGTGATGATGGAAGCAGAGAGCCAGGTGATACATCTATAAGCCAAGGAGCGCCAAGGACTGCCAGGCCACCAGAAGCCCAGAGAAGGGCATGGGACAGGATCTCCCTTGGTGCCTCCAGAAAGGAACCAACCCCTGCCACCACCTTGATATTGGACATCCAGACTCCAGAACCGTGAGAGGATAAATCCTAGCGGTGGTACGCCTCCCAATTTGCGGGAACTTGTGACGGCAGTCCTGGGAAACTAACACGGTGGTAGCTCAGGCAAAGGACTGAGGAGGTCACAGACCTACATTCCAACACCAGCTTCAGCACATACTCACTGTGTGGCCTTGGCCTTGCTGCTAAACCCCTCTGGGCCTCATTATCTATCCTCCTGGGAAAAACGGGGGAACATAACAGACACCCCATGAAGTTCTATAATGGAGATGAGCTCTTCTTGAAATTCCTCTGTTGGTTGGCATGACTGTGCTCCCTCCTAGCTTCCCTCTTACCTCCTAGCTTCCAATTCTTGGTCTTCGTTGTTCTCATTCCCTTTCGTTTGCCCTAATATGCAGTTCTCCCCAGAATTCAACTCCTGGTCACCTTTTCCTCTTACCTTATTCAGTGTTTCTGGGCAATTCTGTGCCAGGCATGGGATTCTGAGTGTTTTCCTTTATTTTCCCGTTTAATCTGCACCACAGTCCCTGGAGAGGGACGATCATTAGCCTCACTGTACATATGAGTAACCTAAGACGACGGGTGGCCAAGGCGTGTGCCTGACATCACAGCGAACAGGTGGCAGAGCCACCGTGTGACACAATAAGAAATACATACTCGGTTTTTGTCCCCAGTTTCTGGCATACAGCTCCTAAAGCCCTTGGGCTCTCTGGGGGAGATAAGAGTGTCTTTTGGATGCTAATGAGATTGCTAAGGGCTGGGGGTTCCCAGATAGCTTCAGGAAGAAGGCTGGTTGCCAGAAAGACAAAGGCACAGTTAGAGGGTTGGAACTCTCTCGGCCCCAAACTCCACTCTCTGGGGATGGGAGAGAGTAGAGGCTGAGTTCAATCACCAATGGCCAGTGATTTAATCAATCGTGCCTACGAAGGAAACTTCCATAAAAAAAACTCCTAAATAACAGGGTTTAGAGAGCTTCTGAGTTAGTGAACACATCAAGGTGCTAGGAAGGTCGTGGACCCGGAGAGGGAATGGAAGCTCTGTGCCCCTCCCCCCCAATACCTTGCCTTATGCTTTGCTTCCATCTGGCTGCTCCTGAGTTATATCCTTTAAAATAAACAAAGTGTCTCCCTGAGTTTTGTGAGCAATTCTAGCAAATTATGGAACCTGAGGCAGAGGTCAGGAGAACCCCTGGTTTATCGCTGGGTCAGTCAGAAGTATGAGGACACCCTGGCACTTATAATTGGCATCTGAAATGGGGGTGGTCTGATGAGACTGAGCCCTTCACCTTCGGGATCGGAGCTAACTCCAGGCAGTGAGTGTCAGACCTAAGTTGTAGGACAGGTGCCCCGAAAGTAAGGGTTTTTTATAACAGGGCTTCTGAGGGCAGCTGACATAAGCAAGGAGAATAGTGGGGCACCTGGGTGGCTCAGTCAGTTAAGCATCTGCCTTCGGCTCGGGTCATGATCCCACGAGCCCCACATAGGGCTCCCTACTCAGCGGGAGGTCTGCTTCTCTCTCTCCCTTTGCTCCTCCTCCTCACTCATGCTCTCTCTCTCTCTCAATCTTTTTTCTTTTTTTAAAGATGTATTTATTTGACAGAGAGAGACACAGCGAGAGAGGGAACACAAGCAGGGGGAGTGGGAGAGGGAGAAGCAGGCTTCCCGCTGAGCAGGGAGCCTGATGTGGGGCTCGATCCCAGGACTCTGGGATCACGACCTGAGCCAAAGGCAGACGCTTAACGACTGAGCCACCCAGGCGCCCCTCAAATAAAATCTTTTAAAAAAAACCCCACACTTTCTCTGTTTCAGGTTTTGGGGGGCCCTATAGGCAGTATATGTTGTTTCTGTCTATTCAGCATCCCTCCCCACTTACTCTGGTATCAGAGCCTCTTTGGCTGTGGTTTGGGTGGGGCTAAGCCTGGGCATTTGACCCCACCAGAGAAGTCCATGGAGCTCTGCTCAGTAAGGTCCCAGAGCTGTCTGGGTGCCTTGTGGTTCAATTCTTCCTTTGCTTCTATGAACTACTCCACTACCCTTCAGGACTACCCTCTTTTTCTCTCAGATAGCCTGGTATGAATCCCGGCTCCACCATTTACTGTGTGATCAGGTTCCCCAACTCCCCGGCCTTCGTGTTCTTATCTGCGCAACGGGATAGTAAGAACACCTATCAGGCAGAGTTGATGAAAGAATTAAATGGGCTAATAAATGGGAAGAGCTTAGAATCCAGCATTTAGTAAGTGAATCTGTTATCATTTTATTTATCCCTTCCCTTCAGCTGGCCAAACTCAGTTCTGTTGCTGCTTGAACTGAAGACACACTCATTTTCACCTTGTATCCTAGTTACTGATGGCCATGACTGTGTCTCAGAAGCCACTCCAGGAAATGAGGAAGTACTGAGGTCCAGAGTCACCTGGGTTCAAGCCCTGGCCCCACCATTTATTCCTCGAACATCTGAGGCAAGTCATTCACTGACTGGGACCTCTGTTTTCTCATGTGGAACATGGGGATGATCATTGTACCTCACGGGCTTGTATGATTCCATGGGGCCATGTCCGGAAAATGCTTCCCATGGTGTCAGGAAACAGGAAGCACTGACAAATGCTCACTATTTGTTCTACTGAGAGTCTTAAAGGAAGGGACCGGGTCTCACGCTTGTCCGTAGCCCCAGAACCTGCCACTGGAACAGGCTCAGTCTGTGACGACAGGCCCCTGAAACCTTCCACCTCTCTTTCTCTGAGCAGAGCCCCAACATTCTCTCTGAAGCTTACCGCCGGACACCTGGGCCACCCAACCCGCTCAAGCCTCATCTTCTCAACCCCAGCTGGGGTCGACAAATTACTTGCTGGCAAATGTCGCTTTAATCTCCTTGGTCAAACTGAGTCATAGTTCCTCGGCTAAGAAGATTCTAGCGCAATGATCATGATAACGATGGACAGCAACATTTCCTTAGGGCTTACCGGCAGTCAGTGCGCATGAACGGAGGACTTGCTCTGTGCTGGGCCAGTGTGAACACCATAGGCATTATCAGATGCCACCCTCACCACAACTCTTGAGGTCGAATTTGCTTGTCCTGCCATTTTCCATGGAAGGAAGCTGAGCTTCAGCGAGATAGGGTGGAGGCCAGGAGCAGATGCCAGACTTTGAATGCAGAGTCCCCCATTCACTAACTGCATAGCCTTGGGCAAGTTCCGCAGACTTTCTGTGTCTCCGGTTTTTAATTTAATTTTTTTAAAGATATTTTTTCTTTTCTTTTTTTTTTTTTAAGATTGTATTTATTTATTTATTTGAGAGAGAGAGAGAGAGCGCTCGCGTGAGAGTGAGTGCACGGGCCAGGGGGAGGGGCAGAGGCTGAGGGAGAAGCAGACTCCCAGCTGAGTAGGAGACTTAATCCCAGGACCCTGGTATCATGACCTTTGCCCAAGGCAGACGTCGAACGGACTGAGCCACCCAGGCGCCCCTAAGATTTTTTTTAAGTAATCTCCACCCCCAATGGGGTGCTTGCCTCACAACCCTGAGATCAAGAGTTGCACGCTGTACCGACTGAGCCAGCCAGGCGCCCCTGTGCCTCAGGTTTTTAAAATGGAAACTGGGGAAAATGATAGTCCCTCGGTGATTTTTAGATTTATATAGTCTCTAAAACAACGGCTGGTCTACGGGACACACTCAGGAAGAATCAGCAATTGTCATTATCAGCAACAACGAGCAACTGTCCAAGGTCGCACCACGGGAAGTGGCTCATGCTGGCCTGAGGATTGTGGGACTGCGGGGCTGTCCTCTTGATATGGCACCACTGTATACATACATCAAGGCTCTGCGCTTTCAGCCTCAAGCGAACTAGCCCTCTGGTAGCCCACAAAAATACCCTGAAGTAAGTACCACTGTGATCAGTGATGTGCGGATAAATACGTAACCCTCCAGGAGGGGAAGGGCTCTGATTTGTAGCATTTGTCAATTTCATACACAACGGCTGACTTCAATGGGAAGTCAAATGGCTTGTGAAATGCCTGAAAATTTAAAATTAGCTCTGTGAGCCAGTGCAGACTAGCTCCAGCACGCTATATAATCCTCATTTTATAGACAAAGAAACTGAGGCTTAGAGATGATAAGGTAATTCTCTGGGGCCCACACCTCTAGAGGATATAAAAGCCCGGACTTGAACCCAGGTCTGTATATTCCAGGGCCCGGGCTCTCAGCCACCACAGATCCCTTCCCGTGTGAGGTAAGTGTGGCACAGTGCTGGGGCGCCTGGGTGGCTCAGTTGGTTAAGCGACTGCCTTCGGCTCAGGTCATGATCCTGGAGTCCCGGGATCGAGTCCCACGTCGGGCTCCCTGCTCAGCAGGTAGTCTGCCTCTCTCCCCTCTCATGCTCTCTCTCTCTCTCTCATTCTCTCTCTCAAATAAATAAATAAAATCTTAAAAAAAAAAAAAAAAGTGTGGCACAGTGCTAAGACCTCCCACCTGCAAGTCAGGCAACCTAACTAGTCTCTGAAAGCTGTGTGATCTTGGACAAGTCACTCAACTGCTCTGTGCTTTAGTCCTCTCATCTAGAAAACAGGCTTGGTCCAAACCATCTCTGGTTCCCCTTCTAGTTGACATTATAACTAGGACTCAAAAGCTCGTGTTGAGGTCTGAAATGTAAACTCCATTTCTATTTCAGGAGGAGGAAAACAAGAAGGACCACAGGAAAAGAAACTTCTAGTTAATGCTGCCTTCTAAGGCTCTTGCCAAAACACTGCTGCTCACCAAAACCTGGGCAGGAAACCCTTTTAACACACACACAGGCCAGCATCCTACTGAAAGAGTCAAGGCTGACAGAAGCTCAGGATAAGTTAGAGGAATTGCTCATTAAAAAATTGACATTTGCTTTGTCTAAGGCCTTGCCTGATCGGTATCAGGCGGTGAGCGATCTCAAAATACAATATGCGGATGGGAGAGGTTGGGGGGCGTGTATCGCTTCTGGAGGTTTCCAGGTACTCGGCCCAATCAACACATAACCCTGGGTGCCTCAAATCATCACCTCTTTTTCCTTTTAAAAAATGTCCTAAACTCTATCTCTGTCTGCCTGGGACATGGTGTAAGGTTAAAGAAGCACATATTGAAACACAAATCAGATCCTCTGGCCAATTCCTCATGGCCTTGATCTTACTTGCTTCCCGACATCTCCTTCCTCTTTTCGGCTTTCTCCCTCCTCCTTCCCAGTCCAGTGTAGGAGCTCCCAGTCAGTAGTTATTCAGTGTATATTATATGCCAGGGGCTTTGCCTGCCTGCTCTTGGTTTATCAAGATGTAATGGAGTGGAGTTAGAATGGCTAAAAGCACAGCCTCTGGAGCTGGACAGCCTGGGTGCAAATCCCAGTTCTGTGGCTTTGGGCATGTTACTTAATGCATGCCTCAGTTTCCCCATCTATAAAATGGGATGAGAACAATCGTTAATACAAAAGAAATGCTTGGGGTGCCTGGGTGGCTTAGTTGGTTAAGCATCTGCCTTCACCTCAGGTCATGATCCTGGAGTCCTGGGATCGAGCCCCATGTCAGGCTCCCTGCTAGGCAGGGAGCCTGCTTCTCTCTCTCTCCTCCAGCTCCTGCTCTCTCTTGCTATCCCTGTCTCTGTCTCTCTCAAATAAATAAATAAATAAAATCTTTTAAAAAATTATTTAAAAAATAACAGAAATGCTTAGCACCATGCCTGACACAGTGAGTACTACGGCAAAGTCCGCCCTCTTTAATTACTATCCTCACAACACTGCCCCAATTCCCCATGCCGCAAGCATTGCATTATTATCCCTGATTTATAGGTGAGGAGTTGGGATCAAATTCACACATCTGGTAAAAGGTGAAGCCGGGACCTTCACCAGATCCGTCTAACTCTAAAGCTAATACTCTTTACACAACAATATTTATTCAATTCAAAAACATCTAACGAGTTCCTTCGCCATGCCAGAAATACTGAGAATAAACAGAAGCAGAAGCTGATGTTATGGAGAGTCTGGCTAAGCCTTGAGCTATACATCAACAGGATGCGGAAGGGGACGTTCCCTGTTGGACCCAGAACTGGCCGCCTGGGCCCACAGCTGGGGACAAGGGACAGGCATGAAGGAGCAGGCAACCAGTGGGGCCCAGGACCTCCCTCTGGGATTTCTAAGAGGCAGAGACCGGGTCCTGCAGTATTCCAAACCATCGCCATTCCCTGCCTCTAGAAGCAGAAGAGGAGATGCTGGCTGAGTGGGGAAACCTGAGGACTGTCCCTGCCCATCCACCCCACAGCTGAGACAGATGGCTGCCAAGAGAGTCACAAAGATCACACACCCCTACAGGAAGGGGAGAGTGGCACCTTCTTCTCTATAGGCATTTGTTTAACCAGGGGTCTTGCTCATCTGCTTTTCACCGTTCTGATCAGACGAGTGGTGGAATGGTAATAAGTGGCAAGCAGAGGGAAGGGAGAGCATAGAAGATCCTGCACTCGGAGCCCTCGAGGGGGCAAGAGTGAGTGTGGGGACACAGAAGGCACCACCCCAGCCCCCAGGCCTGACCACATCACTGCCAGAGACCACCGAGCTCCCTACTGCCAGCCCCACATCTCCCCATCTGAGGAGTCTCTCTGGCCACCAGAGTCCTCCTTCTTCATGTCCATGCAACAGGCTGGAGGAGCCCCAAGGAATTAAGGGTTTCCAGAAGCAGCCCTCAACCTCTACCTGCAGGGAGCTGGTGAGTAAACTCTCTGGCACCGTCACCCCTACACTGAGTGCCCAGGAGGATCATGACCCAGGTGCCCACGGTGGTAACCTGCCTGATAACACGTCCTTTAGTACAGGTCTCATCCCCCTGCTTCCCTTCTGGTTTTTCTTGGCATTACCCCCAAATAAAACACTTGTACTCAAATCTTGGTCTCAGGGTCTGCTTCTAAGAGAATGCAGCCTAGGTCAGAGACAACTTTCCCAGGACCAATGAGCCATCTGATTAGGACCCATCCTTGAGAGCTCCTCCTCCAGGGAAGGGAGCCCAATAGCAAAAGGCCATGAGGTACCCTCCCGGGGCCACAGCAGCCCCCCTCCACTTCCAGGAACTTCCAAATAGTTGACATCCGCCTGCTACCAGGGCCCTGCCTACCAAGGTTCTTCTGTTGCAGATGTTAGCCAGGAAAGTGTTAGCCAGGGAAACTGCAACAAAGAAAAAATCACAAATGTGGCAGCTAAGTAAGGAGACATTCACTCTTCCTTCCCCTAAACCATGCTCCCTCCCACTGCAAGGCTCCTGAGTGCTGGCCACTGGCCGGAATGTGGATGTGGGAACCAACCTTCTTCCACCATGTGGACAAGGGTAGGACTCAAGGAATGATGGGCCCCTGAGAATCCTCCCTGGGACTTCTGGAACTCTTTAGAAGAGAGGACCTCTCTTCCCCTGTGTATGTCCTGGCTGATGGGAGGTAAGCCTGGGCCAACTTGTGGTCACTTTTGCTCCACGGGAAGGGTCTTCCTGAGAAGAAAGGCAATGGAGTAAGGCAGAGCTGAGGAACATTCTAGCTGAGAAAGATTCCCAGGGCATAACCTGAACCCCAGACCCAGTGGCGCTGGGAGCCCACACAACCACAAACCTTCTTCTTTGGCAAAAGCTAGCTTGAGATGGGTTCTGTCAGTTTTAATCAAGATTCCTGATAAAAATAGACATTCTGAGGGCCACACAAGAAAAGTAAATCTCTTTACCTCAGGGTCATGCAATTTTTTTTTTTCTATTCCGCAATCAAAAAAACAGCAATCCCACACTGACACCTTTCTTGGTTCCCAAATCAGACTGTCTTGTGGACATTTTCAAAAATCCAGTCAGTTTGGTGCTCCTGAGGAAAGCCACGAGCACGCCCCTCGGACTCTGAAGGCTCTCCTCAACAACAGGCTCCAAGCAAACCCAGAATTCCTTCTAAGGAGATAACTCCAAAGGTGGAAGGAAGCAAGGTACATACTCATATAAAAATGAAGTTATACCTAGGAGAAAGACAATCTTATCACACTTGAGTTACATGGGGTGGATCAGTTTACAAAGTCATTGGCCAGGACCTTCTCCTAAATAGATTATTTTATAGCAGTTACAGGTGTGGGCTTAGAGTCAGGCTCAGGTTCAATTCCCCATTCCAGCTGTGCAACCATGGGTAAGTTCCTTAACCTCTCTGAGCCTCAGGGTTCCCATCTATGAAATGCAAGTGTCATTATTATCCACCTGGTAGGCTAATGTAAGTGTTGCATGCCGCCCAGAGTCCAGTATGTGTGAGGACGCAGAACATATTTACTGCTAAATGTGAATCACTCAGTCTTACTTGGCAAAGGCAATATGCACAGACTTCACTTCCTAAGCCACGGGGCCCTGAATGCTAGGCATCGAAGATTGAAAAGGCATTCCTTCGGTCAGAGCAAATCTCAGGTTAAAGCAATTTTCAGAAACATAAATATCCAGCATTCCCGTGTGCAAATATCACTTCTGACGAAACACATTTTCTTCTTCTGCACGCAAGTCAAACATTTCTCCTCAGTGGAAAATCTGGCTTTGCAATAAAGGATACTATACCCCTACCCGTCTCAGGATTATCCCCCAAGAACTTTTAAGAGCACTCTAACCTGAGTCTACTCCTTCCCAAATGACTCCATCAAACATAATCCTGATGGCAGCCTATGTTGGCCACTCAGCTCTTTCAAACACCACAAGAGCCAGCCAGTGAGTGGTAGAGGCACGCTTCCGAGCTGTATGTCCAGCTTGGACAGCTAACCCTTTCTGCTTTCCTCTGGCCACTCAGTGTCGCTCAGCATGAGGACCCCAGTTCACCTGCATTGGGATCTCCCAGCACCTTCGCTGAAGTGTGATTCATCCAGGACTCATGACCCTGGAATCAGTGAGGCACAAGTCTGGGAGCCTCCGCTGCTCATGAAAATAAGAAACAGCCAGCACAATGGTAGAATCCCCACTCTGTCAGGCAGCCTGGTTTACAGCGCCCCCGAAGCTGGAGTTGAATGTCTAAGGGCTGGTCCTGGACATCAAACACCGTGCCTTCAAATCATCTCTCCAGCTGGCCCCTCGTGCACCTGCACCTCACACCAGGTCCGGGACATCGCCTCCTGCCTACATGACCGTAGCAAATTACTCCTAACCAGTGCCTCTGTTTTCTTCTCTCTTCGCACTCCAACATTTTATTATAAAAACTGTCAAATCCAGAAAAGCTGAAAGAACTGTATAGTCACCTCCTTTATACGTATCACCTGGCTTCTGCAATGCAGCTATTAATATTAATAATTCTACATTAGTATTTTAAAACTATGCTACACTTGCCTAATGGTGTATCTAATGATCTTTTTTTTTTTTTAAGATTTTATTTATTTATTTGACAGCGAGAGCAGAAACACAAGCAGGAGGAGTGGGAGAGGGAGAAGCAGACTCCCCATTGAGCAGGGAGCCTGATGTGGGGCTCAATCCCAGAACCCTGCGATCATGACCTGAGCCGAAGGCAGACACCTAACGACTGAGCCACCCAGGCGCCCCTCTAATGATCTTTTTTTAAGATTTATTTATTTGACGGGGGGAGGGGCAGAGGGAGAGAGAGAATCTGAAGCAGACTCCCTGCTGAGCTCGGAGCCCGATGCAGGGGCTCGATCTCCCAACCCTGAGATAACGACATGAGCCGAAATCAAGTCAGACGCTTAACCGACTGAGCCACCCAGGTGCCCCTCTAGTGATCTTTTTCGGAAGGCATCTTAAGATAAGCTACAGACATTGGTACACTTCTCCCTGAAACTTCAACAGGCATGTCAGTAGCCAGAGCTCAATGTGTGTTTACAGCGCTTTCTTCCCCCCACAAATAGCATTTACATCCAACGAGATGCACAAATCTTAAGTGTACCTGATGAGTTTGACAAATGCTCACACCAGTATATCAAAGGCCTATCAGGATGTAGAACATCACTATTCGTCCAGAAATGTCCCTCTTGCTCCGTTCCACTCAATCCTCTTCCCTACTGTTCCCTTCCCACAACCACTGTTCCGATTTTTTCACCATAGATTAGTTTTGTTGGTTCTCAAACTTGATATAAGTGCAGTCATATATATGCGCTCTCTTGGATCTGGCTTCTGCTTAGCATTATGGTCGCTCCGAAAAATGTTCTACTTGGCATAATGTTTGTGACACTCATCCTTGCTTTCGTGTGCATCACGGTACTTTGTTCCTTCTTATTTCTGAATAATGCTCCATTATAGGAATATACTATAGCTCGTTATCCTTCACCCTGATGGTGGGACACCTGGCTGCTTCCAGTCTGGGGCCTATGACAGGTGAAGCTGCTGCGAATATGTGAGTACAATTTTTCGTGCGGACATAACATTGTCATCTCTCTTAGACAAATACCTAGGAGTAGCATTGCTGGATCATGGGGGTACATAAATGTTTAGTTTCACGAAGAACTACTACCATGTTATACTACATTATACCTCTCCGCTGTCTGAGAGTTCCAGTTGCTCCACGTCCTCACCAACATTTGGTGTCATCGGTCTTTGTAACTTTTATTAGACATTCCAGTAGGTGGGGGTGTAGTGGTATTTCGCTGTGGTTTCAATCTGCAGTTCTCTGACTGGCTAACAACGTCAAGCACCACTCCATGTGCTTAGAGACCATCTGTATGTATCTTCTTTTGTGGAGTGTCTGTTCAAAACTGTTGCCCATTTTAAAATTGGGATTTTTTTTAAGGGGGAGAGAGACAGCGTGAGCAGCTGGGAGGGGCAGAGGGAAAGAGAGAGAATCTTAAGCAGGTTCCATGCCCAGCACAGAGCCTGATGTGGGGCTCGATCTCACAACCCTCAGATCATGACCTGAGCCAAAATCAAGAGTCCGATGCTTAACCGACTGAGCCATGCAGGCCCCTGGGATTTTTTTTTTTTTTTTTTAATTTTGGGGTCATTGGTGTTCTTTACATATTTTGGATGTAAGTATCTTGTCCCCCAACAATTTCTCTCCAGGGCAGCCTGACAGGGTCACCTCTCCTTCTCAAAACTCTCCAGGGCTTGCCATCATACTTAGGAATAAAATTCAAGTCTTTACCTATACCTTTAACTATAACACTGATGTAAAGTGACCTTTTTATACCAAGTCAACCCCATCTCCTCTCATGCTCTCCTCCTCACTAACTACTCCAGCTGTCAAGATGCCAAACCAGCTCCTGCCTCAGGGCCTTTGCACTTCCTAAAGTCACTGTTTGGAATGCTCTTCCTCCAGGCTCACTCCCTCACTCTATCTAGCTTTCTACTTAAATGTCATCTCCTCACCCATTTAAAATAGCTTCCCCACCCTCACCACCCAGCCATCCCTCTCCAGCCCCTTATCCTACTTTGTTTACTCTCTTGGCATAGACAGTGAAACATGGTATTATTTGTTAACTCATTTATTTGCTACGTATCTCCCTCCACCAGAATGTAAACTCCACGAGGGCAGGCACTTTTGTTTTGCTGGCGGTAGAGAACCAGTGTAATGTCGTGGTTACAGCACATCATTTTTTATGTCAAAGAGCCTCAGTCCTACCACTTAGCAGCACAAATTACTTAACTTCTCTCTGTCCAATTTCAACCTCTGTCAAATGGACCCTTGTTAGGATAAACAAGTTAGGCCGTGTACATCATTTAGAGCACCGCTTCGCTCACCGTAGATACTAACTTACGGCTGTATCAGAAGTCCCAGTCCCTAAAACACAAGAAGATACTCAGGGACTAAATAACTGAATAAAGTATATAGGTATGCTATTTTTGTTGTATACTTACTGGGTCAAAATCATTATCATTCTCTCCCAGTTCGAGGGACTTTCACTTCCCAAAAGTCCTTTCTCCTGAGAAGAGTTCACATCTGTGCAGAT